AGCTTGTCTCCTTTTCCTCTCAGAACAACATCCGAGACATCACCGACTCCCTCATCGAGCAGTGCCAGGAGACGAAGGTAGAAGCAAATACTGCCACGCAGATCCCTAAGGACAAGATCGTCAACCTTGTGAATGATCTCTTTGGAGCAGGTATCCTCTCCCACCAGCCCTCAGCTACTGCAGGTTTTCTAAGGCCCCTCCTGTTACAGCTCTGTCTGACCCACCTATGTCCAACACCAGGCAGCCAGTCTGGGTCTAAGCACTCGTTCTCCTGCTCACTGGTCTTCCTGGATCTTCCAGGAATACCCCTAGAGACCAGTTTGGGACAGTAACTCTGGAAATAGGCTTCAGGAACAAGCAAAGGGCATGGCTTCTAGCTCAACTGAGCTTCACAAGCTAGGTGGCTTTTCCTGGTTGAGAGAGGTGTCTGTGGACTGATTCATCTCTGAGTTACTCTGTGGAAACTCCCTCAATTCCGCAGAAGTTAGACAAACCTGACACAACCCAAGGATGAAGCAGGAAGAGAGCATGTTATTTTAGCAAAGTTTTCTCTGAGAGAATAAACCCCCAAGTCTTGCTGTGTGTGCAGAATGTCCTGTGCCTCCTTAGCCACCCCAGGCTGCTCTGTGTTGTGCAGACCTCACCCATGTGCTTTCCACTGCCCAGGCTTCGACACCATAACCACTGCCTTATCCTGGAGCCTCATGTACCTTGTGACATACCCCAACATCCAGAAGAAGATCCAGGAAGAACTAGGTGAGTCCAAAAATCTCCATCCTCTGAGAATAACACCCTGCTGGATGGGGCTGATCCCAACCCTGACCCTCCTCCTGTCCTCCCTCAGACCAGACCATCGGGCGGGAGAGGAGGCCGCGGCTGTCAGACCGGGGAACGCTGCCCTACACAGAAGCCTTTATCCTGGAGATGTTCAGGCACTCCTCCTTCCTGCCCTTCACCATCCCACACAGGTACAGGCTGGAGCAGCTGACACTTTTTTTTGGGTTTTTCTTAAGAAGTGGTTTTCTGGGAGGTGCTGTTTAGGCAGATAATTGCCTGGGAATTGCTCCCTGCTAGGGGGAAATATTCCAGCTCGTTGCCCTTCTGGGTTTGAATCCTTGGTTTTGAGGGTAGTTTTCCTCCAAAGTCTTTGCTAGTGGATGGATGGTGAACACCCCTGGGTTTATATTTCCTCCTGCCATGTGAGAAACCACATCACAACTCATCTGGAATGAGTTGTGAAGTGAAACTAATTTTTCTGCTTGAGACAAGTGTAACCAAGGCTATTTAATCTCCCAAATACAATCTGGGGTATGTCCTAGCCAGTCCTAAAAGCACAAATAGGACACTGAAGATGAAACCCCCTCAGGACTTGCCAGACTTTGATCTCTCATGAAGCTGTGGGTCTCTTCACCATCCCACACAGCTATGGGCTGAGCTTGCAGAGAAGTTCAAGTGATGAGGTGGACTTGGGGCATCCTGTTATGGTTCACAGACAATGCAACTTCCCCTCACAAAACCATCCCTTTGGGACACATCCTTCCTTCAGCATCATCAGGAGCAACCTCACAGTCCCCTGAGGATGCAGAAGAACCTTTAGGCTTCCCAAACTCTCAGTGTTTTCTCTCCTCAGCACAACGAAGGACACACAGCTGAATGGCTACTACATTCCCAAGGACACCTGTGTGTTTATCAACCAGTGGCAAGTGAATCATGATGAGTAAGTACCTCATGAAGCAGAAAACCTCTTGCAGAGACAAAGAGGACCCTTCCTGCACACTCCTCTTCTGGGGCAGGAGTGGAGTCAACCTGTTTGAAGTGAAAATGGAGATACCTACTAAATTCATAGTATCATAGTGTGTTAAGGGGTTGGAATGGACCTTAGAGACCATCTAGTCCAAAACCTCTGCCCTAGGCAGGGACACCTCCCACCAGACCAGGCTGCTCAAGGCTTCATCCAACCTGGCTTTGAACACTGCCAGGGTTGGGGCAGCCTGTGCTGGTGTCTCACCACTCTCACAGCTAAAACCCTTTCCCTAATAGCTTATCTAAATCTCCCTCATTTAATTTATACCCATTAAAATGGGCATAATTCAGGTATGTTCTTCCTGACAGCTCTCACCTCCTGTGTCGCCTCTATATCTGTGGTTCAGAGACACCACCTGAACATCTGATGTTTTCCCTTCCAGGAAACTTTGGAAGGATCCAGAAACCTTCAACCCAGAGCGTTTCCTCAGTGCTGAAGGGACCACAGTGAACAAAGTGGATGGGGAGAAGGTGCTGATGTTTGGCCTGGGGAAAAGGAGGTGTATTGGGGAAGGCATTGCCAGGTGGCAGGTCTTCCTGTTCCTGGCCACTTTGCTCCAGCAGCTGGAGTTCAGTGTCTGTGATGGCAAGAAGGTGGACATGACCCAACTCTATGGACTGACTCTGAAGCACAGAAGGTGTGAGTACTTCCAGGTCAAGCAGCGCTTCCCCATGAAGAGCAGGAACTGAGCAGTGGTACCAGGGTGCAAAGACCTGGGTGTCCTGGCAGCAAAATGGGTCTGGTACAACTTTATGGGAAGATATAATAAACTGAAGCCATGGAAACTCCTCTTTTACCTGGTTTGCTTTGTAACCTTGCTTGCCTTTTTCATTTTGCTGTATTTCTAGTGTTGGATACTCCATTAAATATTGACTATTCCATCACATCTAGTCTTAGACTATATCCTGGTAGAATCACTCATTGATAGCTGAAGGACAGCCAAGCTAATCCCATAATCCCAACCATAATCCCACGGTTTCCATTGGTGTCTCAGAATTAGAGAATCTTGTAGTTTGGAAAAGACCTTAAAGACCACTGAGTCCCACCACTCCTCCAGCACTGCCAAGGCCATCACCAGTAACCCGTGTCCCCAAGTGCCACATCCACATGGCTTTTAAATCCCTCCAGGGCTGGTGACTCTATCTTTCCCCCAGGTAGCCTGTGCCAGGGCTTTACCACGATTTTGGTGAAGGAATTTTTCCCAATATCCAATCTAAATTTCCCATGGTGCAACTTGAAGCTTCATCCACCTCCTTCACCATCATCACTGGTGTCCATGAAGGACATCTTTACTCCCTGTTACTGAGAAAGCCAAGCTGTTGTTGTTATGGACAGCAACAAAGGTGTTTTCACGGCAGGAAGAGAATGAGCACAGGAATTCCTCCAACTCAAACCCAAGAGTTTACGTTGGCTTCCAGTCAAGCCATGCCAGTAGACCCAGACGCCTCCATCTCTCCAACTTGCACACAGAGCCATCTTAGCCAGCCCACTGCTTGGCAAGCGACGATACAAGAGCAAGTACAACCATCTCATGCAACATGCTCCACTCTTGAACCCGTTCCCATGGGAGGCATCTACTCCCATAGCTCCAGAACCTGACCAATGACAGCTCCTGTGATGTCCATGTACCAACTACTCCTCACACATTGCACAAAAGCTTCCTTCCAAGAAGAGGCAGAAATGAAAGTGTGTTGGGGAAGAAAATGGGGAAGCTGATTGCCCAAGACTTCAGGGAGATTCCAGCTTGCTCAGACCTGCTAAACAAGCCTGACTGAAAAAGTGCAATTCTGTGTTTCCAAGTCCTGCCTGGTCACCAGTTTAGAATCATAGAATTCTCAAGGTTGGAAAACACCTTTAAGATCATCGAATCCAACCATTAACGTGTCACTGCTGTAACCCCTAAACCATATATATATCTTCCAGTGCCAGGTCCAGACACCTCTTAAACACCTCCAGGGATGGTGACTCCACCACCTCCATGAGCAGTCTATTCCAGTGCCTGACCCCCTAACAGGGAAAATATTTTTTCTAATATCTATTCTGAATCTCCCCTGTCTCAGCTTGTGGGTATTCCCTCTAGTCCTCTCCCTGCAGGCATGGCAGAAGGGTCTGTGGTGAAACATTGTGGTGATGCAGCTTCAGAGCCACCTGAATTCATTGAGACAATACAAGCAGCTTCTGTCTGGGTCACACTGCCTCTGTATTCACCACTTAATGTCATAATCCCAATATTGCAGGAAAAGCAAAGGTAAGGACCAGGAAGTTTGAGCTGCAGACTGTCAGAAACCTTGGAGAGAAGGTGGAAGGATGGTTTAGGACAGCCCCTGAGGACCACCAGCCAAGCAATATCTCCATTACCCATAACAAGAACCATAGGTCAAGGCAATAGTCATGAACCTGCTTTCCACAAGGAACATCCCAGAGCCAGCATTTACCTACTGCAGGGGAAGGTGGGACCGTCCTGAGGTGGATCTGGGCCTCAGTGCCTAACTTGGTGAGTCAGGAGAGCAGTGGGACTCGTCAGCAGTTTGCCACACTGGCCCCATGGGGTGGAGAGGCTCTCGTGGACTTGGCCCCATGAACACGCAATGCTGGTGCTGGTATAGGACCACAGGCCTGGTTTGCTGGAGCCATTGCGTGACTATCTGGCCCTGCAGGCTGGTTGGGTTTGCTGATAAGGCTAGCAATAAGCCAGAGTGGATATAAAGAACAGTAGGAATTGTTTTTCCCCCTTTGGAGTTGAGATTTTTATAACCCTGGGGCAGATAAGCAGCTTAATATTAACATTAGTGGGGTGGAACAGCCTCTTGCTGGTGGAAGGTCTCCCCAAGATACATTTATCAACTGATGATTAAGTTACCCCTGAGTCAGGATGGAGTAGGGGAAGGGAAAAGGCTCAGGGGGAAAGGAATGGGCAGGCAGTTGTCCTTCCCCACACAGCACCCTGCTCCCTTGGGGGTTTAGCATCTCAGCTCTTCACTGCCTCATTTTTCTCACTTCCTCCTGGTAAATAAACCCATCACTCCTGGTCATGAAACCTCCAGTTGCTCACAGTAGGTGAGAGACTCCATCTCCCCTATCATTGCTTGCCTTTAATGACCTTCCTCAATTAAACCCTCCAATTACTCCACAGGTAGCCTGCAAGTACCACAATTTCCTTACTGGAACCAGGGAAGTGATAAGCCAGGGAGACTTTTATCACTCCATGGCCAATTGCTTTTATCGTCGGTTTTAAAATGAGTCATGAGACCAGTCAAGGCAGCAGAGCTCCAGCACCTCTTCCAAAGAGGGAGGATGCTCCCAGCTCCCTCATTCCTACAGAAAAAGTTCCAGACAGACACACACCTTCTCTCTCAAGCTGGGACACCTGCCTGATTTCAGCATTCAGAGTGATGACATCTCCTCAATAGGAAAGCCAATATCCAGTCCTAAAATGGGCCAGAAGAAACCTTTGTGGCTCTTCCCCACAGATGGAAGGAAGAGGGGAGTTACTCCATCACAGTGACCCTCCTCATCAAAAAGGAATCCTGAATTTCTAACTTCTTTCCTTTGGCTGTTTGTTTATTCTCCCCTGAGACCTGTTATTAGGGAATCTTCTCCCCATGGGGATTAATTCATGTGTGTCTGCCTTTTGCTGCTTGTCCCCAACACTGGTGACAATCCTTTGACATCAAAAATATCATGCCTTGATGTCTTCGAGCTTAAAATAAAGCTCAGAATCACACCTTAAACTTTATTTCTGAGAGACATGTGCTTTCTTTCCACCTGTGGTTTTGGCCACACTTCTCTCTGAGCTTGTGGCAGCCCATCCTCTAAGCACAGGGGGCTTTGCCCCAGTGTCCTCTGTGCTGGCAGGTATTGGGAGCTCCTTTTCATGAAGAAGGAAACCCCACAACACCAGCTTTCTCTTTATAGCTCCACTGAGACATAGGCTCTCCCATGTGTTGAACCCCAGGCTGGTTTCTGCATTTTGGGGCGAAAAATCTCAGCCTCCAAGAGCAGTTTGGTAGTTGAAAAATCTCTTCTCAGCCTCCAAGAGCAGTTTGGTAGTGAAGGAGATGGTGGGACCTTCCTCTGGTGAAGTTTCCTCTGTGGTGGGTTGGAGAAGATGCTGGATCTCTGCTCCAGCCAGGAGGAACCTGTGGATGGAGCAGAGCTTGACACATTAAACCTGAAACATGGTTCTGCTCCTGCTGTGAGGCTCCCAAATCAGTGTGAACCCTTCTTCCACCTCCCACCCCTCCCCTCGCTCTGCCCTGTGGGAAGGAGGCAGCGTTTGGGCTGATCGATGGCTCTGTGTCATTAGAGGTACAAGGCACTTGTAAATCAGAGGGCATGAAGGCAGGGAAGGATGGAGTTTGTCCTTGGGCTGAGAAGGGAACAGCAGAGACACAGAGATAACTGCTCCCTGCACGCAAAGCACTGCTCAGGAAAAGCTCAAGGATCCCAGCAATTTCCTCAAACATGACTGTACCCCACCCTAGCATGATTTTCCATGGGGGAAAAGAAAAGGGGGGAGAGGTGAGGAGACATGTCCTGGAGAAACTGGAGACCACCAGGTTCCACAAGCACTGGCAGGAGCCAAAAGCCTCTGGGATTTTGGATGCTCCTCAATTCTGGATGCAGGATGGAGATCCCCATTCAGGCCTGGCAGTCACCTCTATGTCTCCTGGGTCTCCTGGTGGCAGCAGCTATTGCAAAACAAAAGGTAGATTGGAGAGGGGGGCACACAGGGGGACATCTGCCATGTCCCTACTAATTGTACCCATAATAAGGGATGCATGTTCACTGCTCCACTTTTGTGCCCCTAAAATCAGCTCCCTGAACCCCATCAGGGTGGGTAGAGCAGGGCTGGTGCCGGGGAGGAGTGGACACAGGCAGAGTGGAGGGTCCAGCCTGAGGTGAAAACCCACCTGCTGAGAGCATCCCCAGCCTGCTCCCCTTCGATGCCAACCATCCTGGGAACCAGGGCTGCCCAGGAGACCCTCTGAAACGGGGTGTTTTGGGGTTGGGATGGAGGGAGAAACTCCCCAAGAAGCCAGAACTGAGATGGGAGGAGCAAGATCCTAAATCACTGAGCATTGCTGTTCCCTCCCTCTGGGCTTGGGGACATGAACGCCCTCCCGTGGCACCTGTCACAGCAGCTCCGCCAGTGCCTGTGGCTGGGGGGCCCGCCAGTGCCTGTGGCTGCTGGGCACGAAGAAGCGACGGGTTGTACCCCTGGTGGGAGTTTTTGGAGGAGGAGCATTTAGGGAAGGGGATCTCTAGTAGACTGTCCCCCCTGCAGAGCATCCCACATCCCCCACGGCCCCGGTAGCGCTGGGAGCCGCAGAACCAGCCAAACTTGGTTCCCTTCAGGGGGTTTTCCAGCTGGAAGGAGAATTCTCCAGGGTGGAACAAGCTGGGAGCTTTCATTCTGAGTTTCCTCTTGTTCCCAGCCACCACCTGAGGATTCCCTGCTGTATCGTACATCCAAGGCAGCAACCCTTCCCTTTCCCTGCCCACCACATCCTGCCTGTGCTGCTGGAATCCTACCGAGACACCAAACTCACTGCTCGACAGGGACTAAACCAGCCGGGGGACGCAGAGAACAGGCAGAGCGACAAGGCGGGCGATTGCCCATCCTTCACTCTCTCAAGCAAAGCAATATCCCTCGATCGGGATTTCATCCTCAGCTCCTCCTCTGTTGCTTTTTTTTTTTCCCTCTCCACTACTTTCGCTTATCCTGCTGATTCCAAGCAGCTGGAGGGCCCCCTCTCCTGGTGCAAGGCCGGGACATGG